GCCATGTACCTACCGTAACTCTGCGAAAAGGTCTCAAAACGCAACGAGAGTTTTTTAGACGTGGTCAGAAGGTCGAATCTCTCTAGACTGAGTTTCAGCCAACACTGAGATTTCGCCCCTCTGCAGTATACCTACCATAACTCAGTGAAATCGCCTCAAAATGCCGAAGGATTATGATATTCGTAATCAGCATGTCAATTAGCCCCCCCCCCCCCTCAAAGTTTCAGCGAGATCCATGATTTTAGCTTCTTATGTGTACCCAACGTAAACCCAGAAAATGGCGCTATATCGCGCGAAATGACTACGATATTCGTCATCAGCGGCTTCAATAATCCCCATGTACCGACTTTGAGCAAGATACATCACAAAAACATTTTGGGGCCGGATAGCCGAATAGCGCCATCAGTTTTCAGAATTGTCCTTACTTTTACCGGTTTTATTGCCTTTTTTTGCCAAGTTTGAGCTACGGGGCTGGGGGTTGTTGAGGGAGGTAAGGGGCATGCTAATTACTAACACATCGGGAATGGGGAATTGCATGTAGAAGTGGGCACAATGAAAGGTTCTACAGGGATAGGGATAAGGACCTTGATCATAGAATTGACAGGGCCGGGCGGAGCCGGGTAAGCCAGCTAGTAATAGAATATGTGAAGATCTGCGCGAATCAACTTTGGTGAGACACAGCCTTTGAATCGGCGTGTATAAATTTCTGCAATCGCACGCTCAGACTGCGAGGCACTTTACCAACGCTGTATAGGGACTATGGGGGGAGGAGCAACGAAGGGGCACGTTGCCGTCTGTGAATGTTTCCAGTTTGTAAATTACAAAGATCTTCTATTGAGATGTTTTAGGAACCAACGAGCTTGAGTTGTGCGAATTTCTGAAATGCATTTGAAGACTTTAAGATACAGTTTGGATGAGCGTATGTACATGCAATGTCCCAATGTGCGCCTATGGACTGCATCTACGAAAATTGTAGCTACGTTGAGTGCAAATGCTTACCCTCGTCAATGTCTGTCTGCCAGTAAATTCAACTGCATGCTTCACCCGGAATACTATGTAGCGCTGAATTATTTTCCACAAATTATTATCTCGTTGTTTTCGCGCAAACTGCTCCGCCTAGCTTCTTACAATAAAGAAGCATAAAGCAGCAATCAAATCATTTGCTTTCATTGAGAGACTTTGCCCAAAAATCATGTCCAGAAATACTTACAATTAGTAATCGCCGTTGTTCAAAGACAATAAGGCTGATACATCACATCAGCCCTATCTAATGACAGAGATGTGCGGTAGATGAGTTCAGGGCCTGGAACAGCAAAACTGAACAAACTGGACATCCTTTTCTTAGCAAAGGGGATATTGATTTTACAAGTACGGGGCAAAGAAACGAAGTACGCCGAAGCATGTCGGCTGCATGATCAATCTGTAACAAACAAAAACGTTTACAACCAAATTGCAAGGGTATAACACCTAAGTTAATGTGCGCATGCCGAAAGGGACTAAACTATGGTACAAAAACTGCCCGTGCCCACCTTTCTTTCGAGGAAGCTGGAACTGTTTGGCTGAGTTCCAGCTGAGCCGAAACCGACCCCTCGTTCGCATAAATTTTCAAAGTTTTTCACTATTGCACCATCACCGTTAAAGTTTTTATACGAGCAAAAAAGGTTTCGTAGTGGTTTCTCTAGGCTTTTTTGTAGTTCTCAAGATACTTTCATTGGTGGCGCAATCTACTCTGGTCGCAAAGCACGCCCTAAGCAAACCACGTTCGGTGTTGGTTATGCTTGCCGTTTTATTTCCTCTTTCTCTCTTTATTTTTTCCTTTATATTTTCTTCCTTCCTTCTTAACTTTTTGTCATCATTCTCGAGGAGGGAGTGTAGGTTTATGGGGTAGAGAATGGGGAAAGAAGTGGAAAGTGAGTGAGGAAGATGTGGAAGGGAGAGAATAAGTATTAAACGGGTAGGTTTCAGGCTCAGATCATGGGATGAAACGCATTCGATGCAGGACGAAAAGGTTGATAAAATTGAATTTTCCATGCAAAAAATGGTAAAGGCCATCTATTATGCGGTGAGTGGCAGCACAAAAAAAGACAAGTGAGAAGCAGTGAGGGAAAATCGTTTTAGGTCAAAAGAGACTTCTTTAAAATTTCCAAAATCAAAGTGAACTTCGCTTAAAAATCTCCCGCTTTCTCTTCCTGCAAAAATGCAAGAATTTCTACTACGAACAGGAGATTACATACATTCCATGATGAGAAGCAGAACTCACAATTGAAAAAATGGGAATACCGCCATATAATAAAGGTAAGTTCATCATTAAAGCGAGAAAAATTTATTCACATATAATGCACACATAGATAGCACAAGAGAAATCCGTAGCGATACAAAATTTTCTGTTTTGACAGGAAATCATGTATCAACCATAAAATCAAAAACCATTCATAATCAAAACATTCCATTTCTTCATTTGACAATATATTTGTGGAATTGATGACGAGATAATTACAAGGAATCATATATCGTTCTCAGCTGTTAGCTGCGTTTTGCTTGAGCATGTGCTTCTTGCTCGATGACGATCGGAAACTACGTCGCACGAACGAGACGCAGCTAAAATTCAATGAATTAGAGCAATTTTAATGGGCAAAAAACGATGGAAAAGGAGTAAATTGGCTTAAAAATTGTTGTGAAAGCTGCAATGTTAGTTCAGTAGGTTCGACCCCAAAAAAATCAATTCAATAGCTTTTCGAAACATTTTGAAATTATTGAGAGAAAGATAAGCCATATGACCATAAATATTAGGCTAGCAAAAATAATTTCTGTCTTAGATTTGTGTCTTTATAAAAGTTTGGCTTGTTGTTTCCTTTTTTCTCGAAAAGGCAGTTCCGATCTTCTGCTATTACATCGACTAATTAAAAATTTCAACCACATTAAAGGCAGTTTTGCCCAAAGCCAAATAAAAAAACACTATTCCCTAAATTTCTGCGTCTTATTGTCATGCTTAGTTGATGAGAAGAAAAGTATGAAATTTGGTAACTGGATACATACACGGTTCCTCAACTCAGAGAACAACAACAAAAATTGTGATCTGCTATTTTGAACACTGAATCAAAAATACTTCTCTCACATTTGCGCTCCAAGAGGAAATTGGTGTCCTACTCTTTCAAATGCCTTCTCTATAATGGAGAAATGTTTCTACTTAAATCAAGTAAATCTGATTCTTTACACATGGTGTCCCAAAAAATGTGCACACTGTTTGATTGTAAATAACTCTTTTGTGGGTGTTTCGAGAAGCTTTAGGTACCATTTTGTAGAGCGAGGTTCAACTTATTTATAGTGTAGAGCAGATCGCCGATCTCTCATTCTTACTGTAGGATTACGGTAGAAACTTTGAAGAGGGTTTTGAGCCATGAAAGACCATATTTTGTTCCAAAAAAAGAAACCAAAACAATCTGAAAACTCTCACACTGGGCTAACTAGAGTTGCTGATTCTAAATGAACTTCGCAACTCTCCGTAATGCTTCATTAAAAAATTATGCGAGGTAAGCAGTAGCAGGCGTTTTTTAAGTGTTCCTAAAAAGTGCGGTTACACCGTTTAGAAAGCTTCTCAACTTCGCAAAGAGTTGAGTATTGAACTCAGGGTTCATAAAAACTATATTACACAAATTTCCACATTTTTTTGAAATTTTTTGAAACGGCCGCTTTTTTTTACAGTGACACCATATGTTTGAAGTTTCTACCATACTCCTACAGTAAGAATGAGCGATCGGCGATTCGCTCTACGCTGTAAATCTAAGTTGAACCTCGCTCTACAAAATAGTACCTAAAGCTTCTCGAAACACCACTACAAGAGAGTTATTTACAATCAAACAGTGTGCACATTTTTTTGGGACACCCTGTATGTTAAGCTACCAAACATAAGACAAAATTTCTGCAATATTTCTGCAGTCAAAACAAGCGAAATTATGTACTAGCCAACCTAACATCTATAATCTAGTTGGTCAGATGATTTTTTTCAACATAATAATAAGGAAGCTTGAGTTCCAGTGAAGCACGTTAGATAAAAACGTTTCAATGTAAATGATGGAAAAGGGCTTAGAACTTAGATGAACAGTTTCTTAAGCAAAATCAATTCAACGAGCTTTTCATTATGGTCTAAGGACGTGACTGAAAGAAGTTCTTAAAAAATAACACTTTCTTTGAAAAAGTGCTACAAAATTGTAGGTGGCTCTAATAGCTGTTGAAAAGCTCTAAACTGCAAAAATCAAACAAAATAATCAAATACTGAAATCCCGAGTTGTTTTCATGCTGAAAAGTATGCAGCTCTAGTGCAGAGTTAAATATCGACGAGTTTACGAATTCTTCCCGCAAACAAGCTTACGGCAGATATGTACAGCACATTTTCCGTACTTCAAAGATACAGTGTACGTACACTGTCTGGGGCGAAGGTACAGGAGCGTACACTCGATGTATTTGAGAAGAAAACTCGTACACTAGCCTCAGGTACAGAACATGTGCTGTACGTCTCGCAAAAAATCAGCACAAAAAGTGTACGTTCTAGCTGTTTATCGCGAAGAGCACAGTACATATTCTGTACTAAAGCTAGAGGACGAGTTTTCTTCTCAGAAACGGATTTGTTCTTGACGGTTGTATGTACACTTTGCTAGTGTACGATACATGTATCGTACTGTACATATTATTGAAGCTTCCATGAGGATCAATATCATAGGAGTTGTTGCGTTTCTTTTGCTCCTTTTCACGAGACTTGCCCAGCTGCATACTAATCGATTTGTTACGTATTTTTCTGGGAAGAGCTGGGAATATTGGTAGTCTTCAAGTGGGCAAGTAATTATCGGTAGCCATCGGAACACATATCGAAAGCCTATTCGGAACCTGCAAAAGAACTTGTAGCACTAATCAATCGATCAATAAAACTCAAAACTATAAGCCAAGCCTATTTTGTTTCTTACCTTTCGTTCGCAAAGCAATAGATAATCGGATTGTAAGCGCTGCTACTCATTGCTATCCAATATATCCCAAGATAAATGTACTCCAATATTTGGATTGTTAAAGTCCATATATGCCTAGAACTCAATCGATAATTTTCAAACAAGATCGATTTATATGACTTACATTTAAGAAAGTATGGTAGAGGACGTACGGTAGCCAGCAGAACATGAATGTGATCACCATCAGTGCTAGCATTTTGACAGCCTACAAAAAATCGATTATTGATTGATATTCGAAGTAGCGCAGGAAACATACCTTGTTCTTTGCTCTTGTGTGATTGGAACCTTTTGAGTTGCTATCTGATGCCATATCGGTTGCCCTAAAATAGAAGAAAATCAATATATTGATTGATCGATAACTAATATAGATAAAATTACCTAAATGCCCAAGCTATTCGAGCAAATGTGAATGACAGTACGAATAATGGCAATGCATATTGGATAAGGAACAGAATATGATCAAATCTGAAATAATGACATTATTTGCAAAAATACATCCCCCTCCCCCTAATTGATTGCACTTACATTGGATGAACAGGTGCTGAGCAAGCATGAAGAATTGACGCTAGCGATCAAACTGTGTATGCACACTTTTGAAACACTCTGTAATTTTGCTAGCTCCAAAATCCGGGAAAAATTTTCAGTAGTTGAGCAATCGCAATCCTTTGCGCACTGTTGCAAGTAGTTTCCGTAGATGCAAAAGGATTGCGCAGTGGCTTAACACTATCTTCTTTCTTAAATACGAGAAAACATCAGCTGAAGAAAACCGCAAGTGGAATTGCAAATTATTCAAACAAATTATTTGTATCAATCCAAACAAGCCGCTATTGCCCATCGACATGCATGGCCTAAAGGAAATGAACCCTAAACCAAACCCAATATTACCTATTATATAAATGTCGAAATTCGTCTTTCATTGTGAAAAAAAAACGTTTTGAAAGTTTTAAGCACTTACGAGTTCAATTTCGTTGAACCACACACGTAGATAGAAGTAGCAGTTCCTGTATAAATCACCGCCCGGAGCGACCATCTCGAATCATACACTTTTCGAAGCGAAGCTTGGGAAATCACTTATTGGCCTCCTATCATCTGCATGCAAATCTCAACATCTTCAGTTTGGAATGAACGAGGATCTTCACCATGAGCTGAGTACCTTATGAAGCAATCTAGTACTAGCGCGAGCACGGCCTACTCATTTCTTTTTTGTTTTTTTTTTAGATACAAGCGATGATTACCCATAGAGACGCTGCGAGTAGACTATAGTCTTGCTGGCAGGGCTCTGGTCAACATTCTGCAAAGGTGAGCCCTCTATTGGGCGAAAATTTTGTTTTTTCATTGTGTTTTGGAGCGATTTTGACAAAAATCTCAATTTGGAGTCATTTCCTTTCCCTTGATTGTGCTGTAGTTCCGAAACACAGCTGCTATCGCCGCGGTCATCAACAATCTGCGATTACAGATGCTGACTGCGTATCCGATTGGGACCATACTGTTTTGAATCAGAGTGTATAAATTTCTGCAACAATATGATGTCTCGGGCCTACGCAACGCTGAGAAGGGGCTGTGGTAGGTGACGATGAATTTGCCGTCAGCTCAATGTTTTCGAGTTCTATACTACGTACTACTACAAGGATCTGTGGTGAGACATTTCATTTTAAACTATATATGTAAATAATTTTTTTTGCATTCATTCCAATGTTGTTTCATTTCTTTGTGCATATTGTTCCGTGCTAGCCCCTTCAAACGAAGATGAAACGTAAGCCGGCAATGACACTATTTACTCTCGTTAAAACGAGACCCTGTCTTCAGTGGCGGTCCCAGGATTTCGGATCGGGGGGGGGGGGGGAACTTTTTTAAATGAAGGTGCGCGGCTTTAGCCACGCACTCCGAAAAAATTTTTGGGGTTTTTCTCAAAATTTTTGCGGGTCCCCAACCCCTTAAATCTGAAAAAAGGGGGCGTTGCGTCAAGGCTAATTACGGTCCGCCACTGCCTGTCTTATATATATTGCTTTTTAAAGGCTTTGTTATACTCATAGTTTCCGAAATAATATGATTAACTCATCATATCGGCCCTATCACTTGTGAAGGAATTATGCGGTAGCTGGAATTTACAAAATAGTAAATTTGCAAATGATTTTTGGACTTTAATTTTATTTCTGGAGATGTCAGAATCCTGCAGCGAACTAGAATTTTTTTATGTACATTCCATGACGTAAAGCGGAACATTTCATAGCTTTCACATCTGGGAGGCAATACTTTTGTATAACAACAACTTACACAAAGCAAGAAAAATTTATTTACATATAATGCACATATAGACAGCACAAAAGAGACCCGTGAAAATACAAACATATTTTTTTCTGCCCTTGAGAAAGAGCATTAATTTATCAATTATAAAATTAGCTCAATTCCAGTAAGAGTGTTATGATACAAAATAAAAGCATTCATAATCAATGCCCATAGCTTCATTTGACGACGAGACAAACTGATCGGATGAGATTGAACACAAGGAATTATATATCGTTCTCGGCTGTTAACTGCGTTTTGCTCGAGCACGTGCTTCTTACTCGATGACGATCGGAAACTACGCCGCACGATCGAGACACTGCTGAAATTCGATAAATTTGAGCAACTTTTGAAAGGAGTAATGAGCTTGAAAATTTCCTTAAGAGCTGCGATGTTAATACAGTACGTTCCTGCGATGCAAAAGCAAACATTATTATACTTCAATAGTTTTAAGTTCACCTTGAAATTACCGAGGAAAACAAGTTACCCTATTTTCAGGTGTATAAGCCGCACCCTTTTTGCTCTAAACGCGAGCAGACCCAGGCGTGCCGCCGCGCATATGTCTCGCGAAGCGGTCGCTTTATCACATACTGCTCTTACTTAACGCGCTCCTTGATGACAGTCAGGCTTTTGGCGGGTTCGCCTTTAGAGCGAGAAGAGTGCGGCTTATACACCTGAAAATAGGGTATATGAGCGTAAATATTAGGTTTCTAGAAAGTAATTTCTTTCTTAGATTTGTGCCTTTATAGAAGGTCGGCTTGTTGCTTTCACCTATTTTTACGGAGAGGCAGTTCCGGCTGCTACTATCACATATCGACTTTTCAAAAATTTCGACCACATTGGAGGGCAGTTTTTTTCCGAAGCTAAATCTCCTAAAACTCAATTTTCTAAATTTCTACGTCTTATTTCCATGCTTGGTTGATAGAAAATAAGGGTATGTAATTTGGTGACTGGGTGCACGGGGTCCTAATCAGTAAACGACAATATAAATGGTGATCTGCTATTTTGAACACTGGCATAAAAATACAGAATTCTCTCACATTTACGCTCCACCAGAAAGTAGGTGTCTTTTACTTTCAAACGTGTTCTCTTTACAGGAGAAATGTTTCTACTCTAACCAAGTATTTCTGATCCTTTATATGTTAAGGTGCCAAACATAAGACAAAATTTCTGCCACATCTCTGCGAGCCGCCAAAGAAAGCAAAATTGTAAAAAAACCATATATATTGAGATACTCGAAAATCTAGTTGCTCTGTGATTACTCGAATACTAACAAGAAAACTTGAGTTTCTAAAAAGCGCGCGTTAGATGAAAACATTTCGATATAAATTTACGGAAAAGAGATCAGAACCCAGAATCAGAAGTTAAACAGTTTCTTGAACAAAATCAAATCATTGAGATATTCATGTCATCGGCTAAGGACGAGACTGAATGAATTCAGCTTTGAAAGTGCTACAAATTTGTAAGTGGGTCTAGTAGCTGATGAAAAGTCCTAGATAGAGTGCAGGATTCATTGGAAATAAAATGGAGAAGGATCTGTGTTTGATACTCGGCATAAAAAAGTGCGCAATTCTAGTCCAGGGATGATACTGATGAGCTGTTTACAAATTTTTCCCACAAGCAAGCATAGAGCAAAAAAGTACAATACATGTGCCGTACATCAAGAAACAGTGTACGTACACTGCTCAGAAAATATACATTAGATGTACAGTCGCTACCTGTAAGATGAAAACTCGTACACTAGCTTCAGTACAGAACATGTACTGTACTTCTCGCAAAAAATCAGCACAAAAAGTGTACGTTTTAGCTGTTTATCGCGAAAAGCACAGTACATATTCTGTGCTAAAGCTAGTGGATGAGTTTTCTTCTCAGAAACGGATTTGTCCTGGACGGTTGTACGTACACTTTGCTAGTGTACGATACATGCATCGTACTGTACATATTATTAAAGCTCCATAAGGATTAACTCACTATCATAAGAGTTGTTGCGTTTCTTTTGCTCCTTTTCACGAGACTTGCCCAGCTGCATACTAATTGCTTTGTTTCGTAATTTTTCTGGGAAGAGCTGGGAATATTGGTAGTCTTCAAGTGGGCAAGTAATTATCGGTAGCCATCGGAACACATATCGAAAGCCTATTCGGAACCTGGAAAGTTCAACATTGATTACCCAATCAAGAATTCTTGAGGTACAAACCACGCCCACTTGACCTACCTTTCGTTCGCAAAGCAATAAATAATCGGATTGTAGGCACTGCTACTCATTGCTATCCAATAAATCCCCAGATAAATATACTTTCCAATGTTTGGGTTGTTAAAGTCCATATATGCCTAGAATTCAATCGATAATTTCCAAATAAAATCAATTTATTTGACTTACATTTAAGAAAGTATGGTAGAGGTGGTACGGTAGCCAGCAGAACATGAATGTAATGACCATCAATGCTAGCATTTTGACAGCCTAGAAAAAATCAATTATTGATTTCTATCCACGACTATAAGAATTGATCAACGAATCAGAATAGATTACTGTTAGATCGAAAAGTTCAGACCTTGTTCTTTGCTCTTGTGTGATTGGAACCTTTTGAGTTGCTATCAGATGCCACATCGGTCACCCTAGAATAGAAGAAAATCAATATATTGATTGATACAATATAAAGCATACCTAAATGCCCATGCTATTCGAGCAAATGTGAATGAGAGTACGAATAATGGCAATGCATACTGGATAAGAAATAAAATATGATCAAATCTGTAATGATGATGTCATTTGCAAGGACACAGCATCCCACCCAGCAACTGAATGCACTTACACTGGATGAGCAGGTGCTGAGCAAGCATGGCGAATTGACGCTTTTCTGGTGATTACGTTGTAGACGTAGAGTTCGCTAACCTAAAAAAGGAACTGGTTAGCGTTTTTTCAACATAAAATCGACCTAGTGTTAAGCTTCACAAAGTAGTGGGATTATCACGCTGGATCAAAACACACATTTTTCAAAAAAAATTTTTTAGTGTTTTTTTTATTTCGTTGCAAAATCGAGAGCCGGATAGTTGCTCTACATCAAGTTTGAGCGCGTCTCTCTGCTCCCTATCTGTTCTTCTGGTAATCTCTCTTATCTTAGAGAATGAAACTCTTGTTCTTATTTTATATCATGATCGCGAGTTCAGAAAGCCCTTTGAACTCAAAAAACAATGAAATTGCGTTATGGATTGGCTACTTTGCAGCTCAGAAAGTTTTCAAAATGGGTATGTTAAATTTAACCAAATTGAGAGGTTTTCATGTAATAAAATTCCTCTACTGCTCTACATCTGCTTCCTGCTAACATAGCTTGTTTGATTTTATAAAGAAAGCAAAGAAGGCGTTTTAGAACTTTTGAGTGGTCTAAGCTGCTTATATTTTCGTCTCCTCTCCTGTAATATTTTCATGATTGGCATTGCTACTTTCGGGGAAGTTTTTTGAACATAGCGCGCTAAACTTTACAGCGTTCTGAATGCAGTAGGATTGATGCTTTTAATAAATTAAATGGATTAATAAATGTGGTAATCCGATGAGTATTGCCCCTAGACATAAGCAGGTCTACGAATGAAGATTAGGAAGGTGATAAATCTTACGTTAGCTGCGAAAGCAAATGGTAGCGCTGTGAGTGTAGAAATTGTCCAGATAACGGCTATGGCAACGACCGAACGACGACGTGAAAGTGGACGTTTTTTCAATGGCCAAACAACGGCTTGACACCTGAAAATACCTCGATTAGTTGGATGTTGGCCATTTCTTTTCGCAAATCATTCACTACTAACTGTGTTCATTTTGCCATTTTCGATAATTTTTATTGGAGTACATGGGATCTTTTGAATTTTCAGTCACTTTCTATTTATGAAAAAACCATATGATTTGCAGAGCTCAAGAATTAGCTGCTTCTAGGAGAACTGGCAAATTTTCACTACCTGTCCCAGCTGAGCGCCATCATTGAGAAGACTGATACTGTTGTCGGTGCGATGCCAAAGAATGAGCAGGTGAGGATGCATATGTCGCCATACCTAAAATATTTCATTGATCGCATATTTTGAGACTCCCCCCCCCCACCCCACAACGGTTCCGTTTCTTCTACAGAAAAGTCAGTCAATAGGCCTTAAGAATGCTCATTTCTTACTCCCACCTCCCATACCCTCTCTTCCCCCCTTCTTCCTCTCCCTCCTCACTTCCTACTTGCTCCTCAGCGCACATGCACATATGATGAGCTGATAAGCTGATAATCCAGTTAGCTCAATACATTGCCGATATGAGTCATGTATTCTTGAAGGGAAGATTAAACCTCACCACCAGTCGTGATAGAGATTGAAAGTCCACGTCGTTCCTACGTTGAAAACCGCAATGAGCAAGTCAGCGAACGCCATGTTGAAGAGGAAGTAGTTGAAGCCATGGTGCATAACCTGGAATAGTCCCATCTTAGGTCTTTGAAACAGTGCATGAATCAGAATCAGCTGAGAGTGTCTTTTGTGTATTCGTTCGAAAACTATAATGATTTACGAGCATCTACAGATCACTACTGCTCCTGTTGAAACTGATACCATTGACAGACATGTCACATCTCTGCTTTTTATTTCTTTTTCTCTTAGCCATCAACTTAATCTTCCTTCAATATAGGAAAATTCAGAGTTGGAAAGATATGTTTGCAAAGTTTTTTGAAAAAAATTTATATTGTTGCAAGGCCCAGTTTGGGATAAACGGGGGTTGATTTTGGATATGGTTATTGTACTTGTTGTGTAATGCAAAATTCTAAACAAAAACAAATTTCCAGAATAAGAGATGGTACCCCGATTGGACGGTTAGGATGGAAGAAACAGGAAATTAGAAACTCAAAACCAGCTAGGAGACAAAATTTCTCAATTTGGAGCACTGTTTCAAAATCAAAAAGATCCAACCTTGTGCCGGAAAATTATCCACATCACTACGGCATTTCCAACAACTGCCGTAGCCATCAAACAGATGAACATTACTCCAGCGAAAACTTGCACTTCACTGAAAATGACACTTTCGTGCAATTACGGACATTTTGATCGAAAATCGATATATCGATTGATTCGCTTACACGCTATCCTCTTCCGATTTGTCACAGAAAAACCACCCATCCAATTCTGCAGGTAAGGTAAAGTTGGTTTCTTGGCGTAAACAAGCAGCTTCACCTGCTGCTTGAACCTCGTCTAAGCGAGTCATACTTATCTGTAATCAGAAGAGAGTAGACAATGGCTCCGGCAGTGCCAGAATTATCGATTAGCAGCGCGGAAGTATGAACAAGGATTTGCGAGCATGAATACATATTACATGGATTTCGAAAATGGCTGGTATGTGGTTTCGGACAAAACTATAAGGAAGTACAAAGAGTAAGGCAATTCACTAACAAGATGAAAAGAAAACCAAGATTATCCCCCCTTGTCCTCTTAGATACTTGGCTTGCCTGCAAAATTCTCCTTTTTTCTCAAAATTTGTAAATAGGAAAAAACAGAGTTTTCAAGCTAATCGATTTTTAAAATTGAGAAGGAAATGGTAAAGAACGGTTATGACGTAATGGTAACGAGCCATATGGAATTGGCTCGAGTTTTTGCATAAGAAAGTAGAGACGGAAATGGAAACGTGGGAAAGTGCATTAAGACTTCTGATAAGTGTGCTTAGTAGCATTTAGGAAAGTCTTTCGGAAAAGCCCAGGAGTTAGAAAATGACCACTGACATGCATAAAAAATTGCTTATATATAAATGACGTCGGAGATTTCAGCAGAAGAATAGTAGTCGTGAGGAAAAAGCTATTTTGATCTCGCGACACAAAGAGATCACGCAAGACTTCAAAACTTGAAGAGTTTTCGCAAATTCTAGGATGAGGTGATGGAACTGGAACAACTGCAGAACTAGACTACTAGATATCATGTTTGAATGCGATCAAATCATTAGGGTTGAAAAATGGCTACGCCTACAACCCCCGCTAAGGAATTTGCCAATTCTCATATACAAAAAAAGATAATTGAAAATTATTGAAAGTCAGCCTACAAGGCGTGGGACAAGCATTAATTTCTAAAACTTCTTGATTTGCGTGATCAAATGTTATTTTTCAATATTATTAGATGTAAGTACATTTGTTACGTAATATGTAGACATGCACTTTTTGCGGGTGTTGCTAGGTAGAACCTAATTTAGGTAGGCTTTCCATATCAGGTAAACAGATAGAGATCAAGGAAAATTTTGGATAAGGGAGGGGGGGACAGAATTTTAGTTTTGAATGGAATGGCGCAGAGTTGGCCAAGCCCTTGGCAAGTTTTTGGATAGCTTCACAGAATTTTCGCAGGCTTAGAACCTACATATTTAAAACGGGTTTGCTACCACCCCTTCTTGGAAGAAAATCTTTTTAGCAAGCCACTTATTTTTAATAATTAATCTTGGTTAGTAGCGACTGAAAACAGATTGCAAATTTGTAACTCATCTATATGCTTCCAAAAATTTTGCGACCCGTTTTGGAGGCAGGTTTTCTTTCGTACCCCCCCCCCCCCTTGAATTTAAACCAACAATTATCGAACTTTCTTGACATTTTGCATTAACGAGCACACTTCAACTTTTCAAATTACTAAAGTATGTAGGACATAAAAGATATTCAAAAATGGGACTGCACGATTTTTTCTATGCAATAAAAAGTCCAAAGCTCTCCTATTTCTTTTGAATTATTGATTGTGGGAATGTTTGAGATCATCACATATGCGCGGCTCCTCCGAATATCGGACAGCATCTTAAAACCTCGAGAATACCTTATAATTATGGAATTAAAAAAGAAACACGCATAGAGCATCCACAAAAACTCAGCTGGAAAGTAAAGCGGTGAACACACTTGAGGGAAAAATTTCATGTAAATGACATTTGACATACGTACTCATCTCAAATATGGTATCAAAACCAGTATGGAAAAAAGTGGGATGAGCTCATCTATGGATTACATCCAAAGGATGGCCTGGTGCTTCTCAATAGTGGCGTATCCACGATTTCCCTTTTGCGAGGGGGGGGGGGAGAGGGAGAGAGGACAAAAAATCTTCTGATTAGGGTGCTTGGTGTTAGCCACGGAATCCAAAAAATTTTCTACGCTTTCTGGAATTTTCGCGGGGACCCGAAAAAAAATTTATTGAGCGCTAAACTAGATTTTTGAAAAATTCAAAAAATTAATTGATTATTCACACGTATAAGCAAGTCACTTGCGCATTTTTGTAACTCATGTAAGTAACTTTCAAAAATTTCGCGACGCCCCCCTCCCTTTGGTAGGCCACTGCTTCTCAAGGAAGTTCTTGAGTCAGACATTCCATAGCTGCGCTTTTAGGCAGCCATTTTTTCGATGAAGATTCCATCAGATTCGCTTATATCAAATAAGTGTCTGATAGGATTATGGTTAGAACGGAAGGTTTTTTTCATCACATGAATCACCACTGATTGTATGGGAAAGCTTCAGAAATTTTTCGCACATATCAAATTTTCGCGAGAATATGTTCAAGAATGTAGTTTCTCACTTGAGAAACGTTTCGGAATATTTTGTACGAAATACTTAAGGATTCTGAAGCTACAGATTCTTCGTGGCGAGATGTAATAAGTTTTAAATTGCATTGAACATGAAGAGCATTTTAATGAAACTTACTTATTAAGGGGGGGGGGAGGGCACCTCAAACTTTGTCAAAGTATGCGACATTATAGCCGAGCACGCAAAATTCGAACAAACACTCGCTAATAAAACTTCTTGAAGATGAGGAAATAGCAAAAAGGAAGTATCAATATAAAACAAGGATTGGGTTTGAGAAAAGCTTACTTTATATTTCTGAAAAACCATATTTGCGCTTTCCCGTACAAATTTTTCTTTCCTGTTTTTTGCCCAGTTTCGAAATAAAAAGCTATAACAGCATGAAAATATGAGTTCCAATTTTCATAGCATGACGATGAGACGACCCAGTTGAGTGACGTCAATTTTAAAACACTATGGTAATTATATGAGGACACATGTACCCCAGCTGTATAGAATTAGTCTTTAGCCTGAAAATTAACATTTAGATATGCGCAAGAGAGTCTCGAGTGGAAAACTAAGTACAGGCAAGATATAGAGAGTGGGAGCAAGTGAGATATTGACATAGGCAATAGAATTAAGGGAAACTTTCCTTCTTTTCTCTACCCTTAGCCCCGCCCCACAAGCGTTCTGTAAAGCTTGAAGATTCATCAACTTTTGAACATGAGAAGTAGCCTGAGTTCCGTGTTCTAGAAAAATTTATCTGCTCCAGAAAGCGAAATATCACCCCCTCAAACAAAAAAAAGCAAATTAATCGTGTTATACAGCACCCCCGCCAACTCTAGGAATTTCACCTGCTCCAAAAAACTTAATACCTCATTAGCCATGAACATTACAAACTTTTGCCTTACATGATTACCTCCTCCTCATCCCCCCCCTTCCCATACCAGCTTAGGAAAACTCGAACAAACTCTCCAGACACAAAAACTTACTGGCGTCTTTCCAAAGAAGTAATCGCTGAACGTTTAACTGACTGGCATACGGATATAATAGCTCGTAAACAACAAAATCATTATACATAACGTTGATTCAAATTCAATGTCTGGAGCTAGTTCCGCGAAAACAATAAAAGCCTGTTGGTTGCAAAGTAACAGAGCAGCAAGAGTGATCAAAATTTTAAAAAGGGAAAAAATGAGAATTTTTCCAGAGATTGCTAGAATGCTTGTACAATGTTTTTTTGCGAGCTATTCGTGACTGTTGGTTCACTTAATTTAATTATTTAATTATTTGTTATTAACAAAGCTTTTCGTAACGAAGCTGGGGCCGCTTGAATAATGAAATTTTCGCATGTGATCTACTTCAATATTGTTCTATTATGCTCAGTGACGTCAAATATTTGCAAGTTTCGCAATATTTTACCTTATCTGAAAATACTTTTCAGCAATCACTACCGTACTAATTGTTTATTTATTTACTTACTTATTTACTTGTTTATCCAAAGCAGCACAACATGGAGTTAACGAATAATGCATTCGGTAAAAAGAAAAACCGACTCTCTAATATATAAAGAATCGTTGGGAGGCGTGCAAGTGGTACCCGAGCAGCCGACTGCTGCCGCAGCCAGCCGCCAGAGCTGCCGACAAAGCCGCTGCAGATGGTACAATAATTACGCTCGTCGTGAAAAACTCCTGCCGAGAGCTTTTCTCGCACCTCGCCGCTCTGAGGTGCGATATCAGCCTCAGGAATGCGTGATATCCTCAATATCTATATCATTTCAGACAGAAGAAAATTCATGTTTTTTGATAAACATGCAAGTAAACAAAGGTAAAAAGAGGAGAATTTTTCCTAAGGAAAATGGTCTCAAAATGAAATCACTTCAAAAACTCAAAGGAAGCAGAAGCTGAAAATTTTGAAAATCCCTAAATTTCTAGGTTTTTTTCTCGCTTTTACGTTGAAGAGCGGACGAGAAATTACGGGAAAATGTCATGGATATAACGGTAAGAAAACTCTGTCAAAATGATTACTGCATACATAGTGATACTAAGCGAGCTAAAGAAGACAAAGAAGGACTACCAAATTATGTAGGTCAAGGATATCGTGATATCCCCGATAACTATATCATTTTGAACAGCAATGCCATTTCATTGAGAACCATGCAGTCGAGTAGAAAACTATACTGGATATATCACAAACTATTGCAAAAATGGGTGAATAGGAAGTCAAACAGTTTTTTCCTGTTAAAAATTTTGAAATTGACGTACAATAAATGTCCATTGACGCTGTAGTTCAAAGAATCCTCAATTTTCCAATGAAGATTTCGTAGTCTTTGTTTGTTGAAGGGTTACCAGAGGTGGTTCTTTCAATTTTGAACTTTTGTTATTTTGCAACGAGTTGAATTTTTTCATCACTATTTTTTTATTTTCTCAAAATCCCTGGAGAAGTGTACGACGTAAAGAAGAAGAGAAGTGACGTTCGACGTAAAAGCGAGAAAAAAATCTCTAGAAATTTAAGAATTCCTAAGTTCTTTAGCTTCTGCTTCCTTTGAGTTTTTGAAGTGGTTTGATTTTGTGATCATTTTCCTTTAGAAAAACTCTCCTTTGTTTACCTTTGCTTATTTGCATGTTATCAAAAAAAAATGAATTTTTTGCGTTCAAATAGATACCGAGGATATTACGCTTTCCTGAGGTTGATATCG